CAAGAATTGAAATTTATTTAGAGCTAATAATTGAACAAAACCCATTCATTGTTATTGGGTATATATAGTATTACTTCGATTTTTATCTTTTCGCGTTTTTTTTTTTTTGTTAAATTAGGCTGTAGTGCAGGGGATTAAAGTATTTGATAAAAATGAGCCTTTTGTGGCGATAAACGGATTATGGAATTCGGCAAATTATTGGTTGTTGTTTATATTTTGATGAATCTGGTACTTAAACTATGCAGTCCAAAATAAGTTCTGCGTGATGTGTGCGTAATTTGATGGTTCATGCTAGAAAATAAGTTTGGCTCGAAATTTTTAATCAAAATGTATTGTTTTCACTATATTATGTATAACTTAGTTTCACTGTGATAATTGATTTTTTTCTATAATATCCAAACTAATTTTAAATGTGGTTGGATATTTTAAAACTCATGGCTTTTTGATGAGGTGTATATACTAGGTTTCTTTTGGAGTAGGTTTGAACATTACCTTTACTTTTATTATATTAACTTATTTATATGGTGGAACGCTCCTTTGGGGTCACAAATCTTACCTTGCCCAAGGTATGAGGAATTTTTTAGATTTCTATTTTTCCGCAGTTGCTAAAAAGAGCTCGATCCTTATTTCAGCCTATACAGTCGAAAATTGGTTGAGTTATAAGACGCCTTGTATTTTTATAGTTGCACTGTTTTAAATTGTTACACTAGACTACTAATGATTTTTTTCATTATAGAATAATCGTTCTTAATAAATCTTTTGTAATAGAAACTATTTTTCTTGAATTTAAACCTACAAATTGGTCAATGTGGATCCAGAGGATCCTATATAAATCGTATTAGATTCTTAGATAGCGTAAATGTTAGTTTTGACAGTAGATACATGAACATAACAACTCTAGGTTGATCTTTTTGACGGTTCATTCACCGCAGTCGTCTTTAGGTTTAACCAAAATATATCAACTTTTGCGAGAGAAAGACATTACACCCCCAGAAATTTCTGAACTATATCTAATCATCCTGAAACAAGTACCTAAATTTGAGTTGGTGCCTTGATCAATTTCCTAATCTATATTAAGTGTTGTTAGTGACATGTGGTAGAGCAACCACAAGATTGCGCAGCGCATATCGTACTCTGCAGCCTGGATGTCTGTCTGTGCTAAACGTAGATATTTCAGGCACCAGATGTATTCAGTTTTCTCGATTACCTAACTGACCAAAGACCGAATCGTCTGATTATCGAAACTTTGAGCCTTCATACCAATTCCTATAATCAAAGGTACACGATTTTATTTGTATTTCAGAAACATCGTCAATTCTCAAATTGCTTCTAATGGCTATTTAGGCTACAAGTTACGTAACTAGTTAAATGGTATAAGCTTGCGAATTTAGTGTTCTACTTATACTTATCCCCTCTATAGAAAACTACTGTAGATAGTTTGCATAAACATAGATGCCGCAATAAATAGGACAAATACATGGTCCGTCAGAAAGATCGCATGTTTTTAAATGAGTATTACAGTCAAAATAAGTATGGGAAAAATATTTTATTATATCAAAATACTCAGAAGTACATGCCGTTTTTTGGGGTAAAACAAAATTTACGTTCTAAAAACTATGTCGGCCATATGGCGCCCTTGAGCCGAAATGCAGGAATCAAGACTCTCCCGAAATGAGCCCATTGCGTCGGCCAGCATCCGTGCAGGCATTTGGGTTACTTCTCTTCTTATTTCCTCCTTCAAATCGACGAGGGTCCGAGGCTTGCTTCGGTAAACTTTTGATTTCAGGTAGCACCATAAAAAAATCACACGTTGACAGGTCCGTGAAATGAGACGTCCTGGGAATTTTTGCCGAAGAAGTTCCATCGAAGTGCTGTTATGAGACGGACACGTCGACGTCGGAGTTCCGGAAAAAAAGTTGTTCAGCATGTGGATCTAACGCTCTGAATTCACAGTAGTTGTTTCTCCATCATCCTCAAAAAATAAGGGCCAAAATTAACGCGTTGTGCATAATCCCCTGGAAACCGTTGTTGACAAACATGCATTTTGTAAAGATGGAACACTGACTCATTCTTAAAGATGCGACGTACAGAGGACGCATGGATCCCTAGGGAACTGGCACTTAAACAGACGGAACGATTCGGGTTTTGCAGCGTGTCAACTCTCACTCTGTCTACGTTTTCCTATTGTGTTGAATGTTTCCACCCATCCCGAACTGGTGTTACGGTCTGGTACTGTCCCACGACGTGGAACAGGAAAGTGAACGCGAAAATCACGTTGCGTTCGAACGACAGACTCGCCATTTTGAAAGTACCGACGTACAGTGAACACACGATGCTCAACGTTCCAAACCATATTGCCAACTGAAACGGCACTTCTCGTACTATCTAACACGCCCTTCCCCACCGACACGGGACCAGCCCACTCGACGTAGTACCCATTCGAAAAACATGCGTTCTTTCTGACGGACCCTGTACATGGCAGTCCGTGATAAACACGCCGAAAAACAATCCTGTGATGTTTATTAGTCAAGAAGGATAATAACGTTAATGACGTAGTAGTAACATTTGTCAAATGAAAACTCTTACAAGCATTTTTATTCAGTTGACGGATGACTATATTAGAAGGCTTATTGAAAATCTTCCTCAGTAAAATGTTGGTTGCTAATGAGATACAGGGTGCCGAAGATTAGCTCGCGAAAGCGCTATTTCTCTATGCTTCAAGCTGGTTTTGTTTAATCGATATAAACATTTGGAATTATGGGTTTCTTCAATCATATTCCATTTTTCAACATAGTACGTAGAGAAAGCTAGTTACAACATATAATCTCGCTATTTCATGTCGTAACTTTCTTATTTTTCCATTACACTATCATAATGTTCAGTAAAAAAATAAAACGCTACTGGCAAGAAAATTATGAAATATCTAATTTATATGGAGCTACTAGCATCATCTACATATTATGTTGAAGAATAAAATATGTTCTTTATACCCATAAAACCTCAATTTTCAAATCAATATCACAAAAAAACATTAGTTTGAAAATTAGTCATGTTAAATTTGGTCTCCTCATTTTCTCGAGGTGCAATGTTTTGATGCATCATTACGGACCACCCTGAATATGGTAGATTCAAGAAACAATGGTCCATTTTTACTGTTTACACGTAACCTGGATCAGACGTTATAGATATCGTATCAATATTGGTGTGAGGGCTCAAAACTTTCTATGATATAGGCGTGGTCTTTTCCCCTCAATTCATCGATCATATCCTCTACCAGTAGTTTAGCACTAAGTAGTGTTAACTTTGACCAAAAAATGAGAAAACTATTTTGTATTATTTTGTAAATAATGGATCAACATTTATTGTAGATTAGCTGTATGTTATAGCATTTTACTTAGCGTTTAGAAGTTTCAGGTTAGTAGGGATAAAGCAAATATTCAATTTGTTTAGCGCATGTGGGTCATTTGTATTGTGTCGAACCAGATGAAAATATTGCATTGGTTATTAGCATATAAATACGTACAGAGAACTTTTGAGAACGTAAAAATTACTTTTCTTTCGGATCTTTCATTTTCTGAACCGTTGTTATGGGACGCGGCTGATGACTGCTAACTGTCCAAACTAAATTTCCACTATTAAACATACTATTTGAAAATGCCCTTAAAGCTATTTTCATCGAGAATATATTACACCTAAATATGCATATTTATTTTTTAGTTGAAATACAAGTGATATGCATCGGCCAGTTCCATATTTGTTGGCAGCAGAATTTTGAAATTTCGATTGAAAAGTTCTTTTTCGTGAACATATTCAAATATATAAATAGTATACTCCAAATGAAATGGTCATTGAAAAAAATATCTCACATTCAGGTTTTCTAGTTGAAGTTATTGTACAGTAAGCTATAAAATGTATTGCACTGTAATAAAGAATATACACATTAGCATAGGAGCAGAATTCGTATCGAAAATCAGAGATGTACAAAGATTTTGACTAGGTTGTTTTTTTCTATGCCCTATTCATTTGATGATCAGTATAAATAAAAGAATATGAACAAATCGTGAAAGTAAAGTGCTGCTACGCTAAGGCGGGCTAGCAGGCCACAATACTTAATTTTTGCTCGAATTTTGTTATTTCAGGTTTCTCCTACTTACATTTATCATATACATATATTTTGTTCATATGTTACTGGTTATATATTTACTTATTATCACCTCATTTAAGCGTACAATCACATTTTTCATTCTATATTAAAAATTTCAGTGATTCACATGAATCAGAGATTTTTAAGTTTTTAATAGATTATCAACATACTAACATACATATATTTAATCCATGCATAACCACGTTACTCTGGCTTATGTGAAGAGCTATTTTATAACTTTTGAATCATTTTACGCTCTATATTTATTTTAAATATTCGGCACTGAGCCCCTTTAGAAACACGTTTCGAGCAATCGTGCCTGTCTTGATTTTATGTGTGAAAGTCACTCATGCGGTCACTTTCACATTACACCCATCCACTACAAAGGAAATTAATGTGTCACAGCAAAACGACGAGTTCAAAGTGAATTTTGTTATAAATTGACATATCCTAATTATTCAGGGGCATAGAAATGTCATAAATGCAGTATTTCTCGAAAACTATATTGAGATATGCGTTTTGGTGCACGTAAATGAGTTACAACATTTTTAAATAATCTCTTGCACTGCAACTGAAATGAGCATAAATCAAAAAATCAGATTTTAACAACGACTCACAAGCTCTGTCGTGTAATAAGAAAAAATGTAACAGTTATTAGAAATTCTCAGACGAAAATGTACATAACTAGATCGGTGTGTCACAAAACTTATGCATATTGATATTTCCTTTGTGGCGGATCCCGTTTTTTTCCAATTTTTAAGTAGTCTCTATCCTACTCTATGCACTATTTCTATTGTATGTGTCTATCACTCTCTATGGAGCCACTCTTTAACGTTGCCCTTTATTACTCTTGAAGGTGATAGGTGGTGAATTACAAGAACGTTTGATTCCAGTCCCATACAGCAAGAGCTCGACTGACCAAGCTGTAAGCTGCTTTTCTACCATCTATCTGTCCGCTGTGTATTTTTATATTACGCTGACCGCTCTGTTTAGTGTTTTCTGCCAGAATTGGTCACTGCTTCTCTCACCTTGTTTCTCTCATTGTGCTTCAGAGCAAGTCGATTTCAAACTGGAAACATTGTACAAGCACCACTTTTACTTCATCAAAAGCTAATGGTTCGGAGGTGATGGAAATATAATTGTCGCGAGTATAATTTTGATATTCTACTTTGTAAATACATAGGGATTTTTGTTTTCGTAAATTACTTTAAAGCTGCTTCATCACATATCATATAATAATCAATTATTTTAAATTATAAAAAATAAGTATATTTCAATTTTTTCACAACTTATCTGTTGGATTGGATTAATAGCATCTTAATACTTGGAGGTGATTTGCATCAAATAGCTTTAAACATATATGAATCCAAGGTTTATAAGTTTTAAATAAATTTATATTTTTAAATAAATGCTTATCAGTTCTTTATTGTTGTAAATTACGGCTGATATATCAAAAAGCGTACCGCTTGTATGATGTTTCCGGTTTAAAAACTATGTGCAGTGGGGTAAACAGCCAAAATATTTTATACCTCAACAAAACAATGATTTTCCGAAATCGAGATTAGTTCCTTATAGGATAAACTATGATCAGATACTTTAGTCAAACATAAAACTCAGCTAAGATCTCGAAAGTTTAGCTTTTAAGTTGAAATGTCTGATGTATGACTTTGTTGAATTGGAAGGTGATAAAAATCTCCAGAATTTTAAAAAAGTAATCACGTGCTCAGCAACCCGTTTACTCTTATCATCAATCCTCTAGCAATGAGTGTAGTAGCAGATGATGGCGACGTACGAGATTTGCTGATTGTCTAGCAAGCCTTAAAAACATCCGACAACAGAAATTATGAGCAGAATTTGAAATACAGTTCAAGTATAGGGATTAGTGAACTGTGAAGTCAGAGAACTTTGAGTGTACAGCTACTCGTAACCACTAGTAAATGGCATTCGCACATCATCTTTTCAGTGTCATATCACTTCTTTGCTTTACTGTTAGAAATTTGCATTATGATATCTCTCTGTATATGCTGCTTGCTTGATCGAAATGCACAATTTAATATAAAATAAAAATACAGTTTTTCACAAAATATGTGCTAAACTATAGAGGAACAGTTGCAGTACTGTGTATTTTGTGATCGTACTGTACCAAATCAAAAGACTCTTTCTTGGATATTGGTTAGTGTTTGAAGGATATTGTTCCAAGTAAAAAAACTACGTAGCTTCCTTAATGGAAATAATAATAAAGCGTATTTTATTGAGACTGACCAATGTGTCAACAAAGAATCAGCTGATTGTCATGTATATGTTGGCAATGCATGCAGATGTTTAGCCATTCCTAATTACAGAAACAACAGAATGTACATTTTTTATATAAGTCATATAATTTTGAGATGATTAATGTAATAGAGCAAGCCGAAAATTTCCCTGTATTAAAAAAAGTGGTGAACTACCCTTGAAATGAAGATGATGGAAATTTATTTTTTCAATATTGGACGACGTTAAAGGCTTGGCAGTTCAGTAATCCTAACATTAGTTTTTTTCCAGTCAATAAGCACCTGCCGAAGAAATAGTTAGATTGACGTTGAACCGTATCAAACTATTTAAGCCATACCAGTGATAGCAACTAACTCTGAAAATGTCGAATGCCCTCACTATAATCCCAATAATTACACATTGCCTACATTTTATTTCAAAGTAATTTCGATAGCGGAAAATGATTTTTGATGAGGTTAATCATAATTTGATTTGGCTGTAATACATACCTCGTGTGACCATACACGCAATTTTTGTGTTGCTTGAAGTGACTCATCTGCTAATTTGACAGGTAGCGAGGACTTTGACAGACGAAGTCAGATGCTAAGGAGTAGCTTTTTTCTTGCAGTAGAATGACTTTGATTCAAGTAAATGAGAATTTTTTTGTCGTTTGGAATATTCCCATTCCAATTAGTGATTTGAAAATTTTATTTCATTTATAATAGAAATGGGAATATCTTGAACGAAATAGATACGTCCGATTTATAATCATGAATTGAACATTCCGGTCCCGGAGGACTTTAACCTAGGATTCAACCCTTCATAGCTCCTTTTTTATGTCTATGGTAAAGAAGCAGTGACAATTTGTCTTTTCGTTATTATTTGGTAGACTCTCTCGAAAGTTTTTTCGTTTTATTCTTTTGGTAGCTTTAATACATCCGTAGGAGGCTAATGTGTTTTCTTTTGATTTGATGACCAGAGTGATTTCAGAGTTTTTTTTTGTTTTATTAACTCTCTTCCGTGTTTTCTGTAATAATCAAACTAACCTACGTTTCGAAATAAACGGTTGCAGTATTGGAGAAAAATCGCAAGTGTGTTGTCTGAAAGCAATTTTCCGAAGGATTTTTGTTGCTTTGAGGGTCTGGTTTTGATTTTAGTCCAGGAGGTACAACCCAAAATGTATAAAAAATAAGTTATGTTACATTTACAACCTGTCGTGTAAAGCAATAATCGATGTTCGATTTCTGAATGAATAAATTTCTTATGCTCATAATTTCATTATTTCTATCCTTAAACTTGAAAATGAACGTAAAGTCGCCGCTGTGCTTATAAGCATTTTTATTTAAAGGTTTTAGTACGTTAAATATCAAACATTTGTTCCAGTTGTTTCGTCAGATTGACATTGATATCCGAATATCAAAACTTATTGTGATCAACCATTAACTTCCTATAACTTCTTACGAAGTCATATTTGTCACTAACGGAAATATTTCGATGCCCTTTATCTTTCTCATCCAGTTACGCTTTAACATGTTTTGCTTGTAGCTCCTAGACTACGATTGGAAGCCTCGATTTTCCTATTTTCATTGTGCATGGTGCATGGTGTTTTTTTTTTTAGTTATTTTATTTTCCAAAGATGCATAAGATCGCTCAAAACGACTGCTCTGCCGAATTTTTGTCGATTTGTTTTTTATGAAACAATTTTTTGAAGCAGGTGTTGACTATCTTCAGGTCCAAAGAAAAATGTTTGTTGGTTGTTGATTGTTTTGATTTTTCTATATTGTTGTTACTTAACGGATATCTTTGGCCTGAAATATTTAATCGAGAGTATTTTTAGTCTCCATACATTTGAATTTTATTTGTAAATATTAGAAATTGAAAGTAACGCAATTTTAATGCCTTTGTTTATTTTTTGCATAACTTAGAGCCATATTTCGGTTGCTTTTTTAAAATAGGCTAATAATGTTGGCCTTACGCACATAGCAATAGTATTGTTTGTAAAATTGTTATATAGAGGCATACAGATGTTCCAGTAGGATTGAACCCACTTTAGCTCTTCGAACAAATTATATATCAGCGTGGAATATCTAGATCTCTGTAAGAATTTTGAGCATTTGCGCCATACAATGAAGTGGTTACTCTGCACATATAAAATGGAAACACCACCTGGCAGATGAATTTTATAGTTGAGTTCTGACTTACACAAACATATGAGGAAAATATGTTATGGTCGGAAGTATGGAGGCGAAATAGTTCTACCAGTAACCAAATATTCAAAGTATGATATACAAACCGATTGGTCCAAAAAAAGGTTTTGGTTAACCCTGAATATTTTTTTAATCCAATAGATTTGACTCGAACAAGAAAATATGATTTTTCTGTCGCTTTTCCACGTCGGTATCTTATTTGATTGAAGGGTCACGATGGTTTAAACCTCCTGGAACAACCTGTATATATTTATATGTACCTACAACCACATATTTTTGTATATGTAGGTGGAAAAATTGGTTTTTGTATTCAACTATATGTATGAATATGTGCGTCTGTATACATATAGATATACGTTATTGCCAAAGTGTACTTAGAGTTGTTTATTCTTAACACACTTGCTGTTTTCCAGTTTTCTTTATAATAAATTCGATGAAAAAATAACTGATTTTATTTTACATTCGGTATGTAGGGTGAGCCAGAATTATATATTTTACATATTTATATGTATTGCGATGACACCAGGAACAGTTGGAGTGGATGCATACTCGTACTTTCGCGAATCCTGAAATATAACGACGAAGTTCATAAGTGAAACCAACATTTTCGAATGTATCTGTAAAGATCCTTCATGTAGGCTGAATCGCTTGCAGGGAAATAAGAGAATAAAATGGGCAAACCTCGGACTGAAAGATGTTAATCTCAAAAGCATATACATTTTGTTTTGACGTCCTATAACCTGTCTCGATAGTTTTATCTAATATCGTGTCTGCGTCTTGAGTTATTCCAGGTTCAACGTCACAAAAATCGATTTTTGCAAATCTTTTCTTTGTACTTAATGTCATTTGTACCTAGGTGTATTAGAGTTACAGAGAGTAAATTTTTGTGCAATACAAATATACACGTTTCTGGAAATAACATGTCGATCTCTTGTAAGCAAGCATATAAATCAAAAAAATATGCTATAAGTTCCTATAAGAGAAGTCCAACGGAGATATAGGCCCCAGAATGGCGACGCTGAAAATAGGTTTTGCTCAAATAACTTTTGAACGACACTATAAAAATTTTGAAAGCCTACTAATTAGTTGACTCGGTATTACTAAAAAAATTACAGCCTGCATCATAATGACCCAACGATAACATATTTGGGAAGCCTTATCTTCAAGATTAAAAAACTTACTTTTGTTTGACATCGATAAAATGAACCGTTTTTTGAGAAAACCTCTTCACTTTCAGTACAGGTCTAATAATTTAAAATTCTGATAAATTCGTAATGAGCGACCCAAAAAAACAAAAGTGTACGAATTTTCAGGTCACTTGATTTAGATTAGGCTTTCCAAAAATATTATTCTTGAGCCATTATTATACAGGGTGTGTCAATTGTTTCTCATGGACACACTGAAACCTCAACTGGTTACTAAGCTGTCAAAATTTCGTTCATTCGTGTTGTTCGTATGTTAAGAAAATCCCATTTTCAATAGCTTCATTTAGGGTAGACCCCATGGCTTTCTGTGTTCTATATGTATCCGAGAGATTGGCATCGTATTCTGGGACATTCTGTATAGCAATATTTCATACAATTACAATTATTTATTACAATTCTTGGGTTAGTACTTGCAACATCTTGAGAATGCATCCTTTGCTTTTGAAACGATCGGTTCTTCCCAACAATGAATTGCTGATGGTCCTGTAAAGTCATATACAGTGGACCACGTCAGTTCAGCGCACATTCATCATCATATCATTAATTTTTTAGGATTCGAGCAGTCGAAAAGGGTAAAAATTAAATCTTCTATACTTTGCACTATTGCAATGTTTGTGCAGCATAAATGTTTCTACAAATGACATGATTGCATAGTTAACCCCCAGAAATAACGCGAATAGTGAGAAAAGTTGTTTATCGATTTGCTCATAATTATATTTTTATTCACTATCTCGACTCCAATGGGTAGCTTAAGCATCCCTATTGCTGTGTCTTGGGGTCAGTCGCAATTCAAATGAATCATTATGTAATATTGGCCGCCCTCGATATTCTGATACTTCGTGTGGTTTTTGAAGTGATTTTTGTTTTGATTTTGTGTGTATATTTTTAAGATTTAGTCAGTTGTGTGTTTACTAATACCCACATATACATACATACAGGTGGGGCAAAATCACGTAAGCAAAGTAACGAATATCTGGTAAAACTGTATGTATTTGAATATTGTTCTTCGTGTGTGTTTAAGTGGTGCTCAGTTCATTAAACTGTGTTGATTTGTGAGACATTTTTTGCTAGTTCGATGTTTTAAATCTGGTCACCGTTATGACAAAAATATGACTGCTTGCCGATACCCCAGTCTCAGGAAACATTTTATACAAGCTTATCGAAGATTCTAAAAATAATTAGTGATTTTTGTTTAATTTGAAAGTTTTTTCCATTCTAAAAAGGAATATTTTATAGGAACGTTAAAACTGAACTTAGGTGCTCTCAACGACTCTATTTAGATAATTTAGTGTTGTTAAAAGAAGTACACCCAAAAGTGCGATGCTAAACACTGGGTGCACCCAGGCATCCACTGCGGAAGTTACGATAAATGATTCTATATTTTCCTGCAGTTCAGTCCATCGTGTCCTTCAATTTTTTTTATTATGAGAAAATTGGTTTTAGTTGGAAACCATTCAAGAACTGCCCCTTATACTGATCTGAGAGTATTGGTTCCCAGCCACGCTTATTATGACTAAAATGATTCCAATTTTATTTTTGTTTGTGTCAAAATTATCGGCTTAGTAATAGTATTTGCATGTATAAGATGGTTTCCTAAAAATATTTTCAGCCTATTGTACTGGGGTACGAAATGACTTACGAAAAGTAACAAACATTTTGTAACTCAGTTAAGCCAAATTAACATTATTAACCAATACCAAGGCTTTTTCGCACATCACAGCACGGCGAATTTATGAAATTCATCCAGTGATTTTTTTAATAACTAATATGACGTCAGACTGTTCTTGACAGAGCTTAAATCTAATATTTGGATCCTCTTAGAATTAGAAAAGCATCAAAGGAAAGATCTAGGATCAGACTATAATCTCATTGATCTCTGATAATGTAAGGTCTGTAGTAGATTGACATATTTTTATCAAATTAACAAATGAAAAGAGAAAATTAAATAATAGACTAGTTGATACGATCTGTTTAAGCAGGTCTTGAATAGTTAGTATTTGCTGTATTAGAGAAAAAGATTAAACTATATTCTCAGACATGAAAGACCGTATAACTTCAATTTAAAAATATATTTTTCTTAGACAGGCGAGAGCCTGTTCGCCATGTTTGACCCATATGAATGTCGTCATACCGTTTGTAAACATCAGCAAACTTCTCCAACTTTTAAACATATAAATGTCTATCATTATATCAGATGCACTGCACCTAGATAGAAGTCTTGATGTTCCTCAACTCAGTAGGGCAGAAATCTGGGTTAAAGTCAAAAACATTACCAACCATCAATGTGTCAATTTTCGGCAACTGTGTGTTTTCTGCTTTAACGAATCCAAAGTGTGTTTTTTTCAATAAAACGAGAAAACAAAAGCTTTTTACGTTTATTAGAAAGTCTACGAGTGACACACGGAAAGTCTACGAGTGACACACGGATGCCGTTTCTTTGTTTACAATTGTATGACGTCACATCATGGCCGTTAGTGTGTTCCGTATTAAAAATGAAAAATATTTTTTCAATTGGACTTATATATACATCTTGAGTTTTTAAAAATTGAAATCGATATATTTCGTTTCCTAAGAGAAATACTGTTAGAAATGGCACTTTATTCTATGAAATTAGATATGAGTCAAATAGCCTATTATTCAGAGAAACTGATTTATGGTACCAGTTCTGGTATCAAATCTTCTAGAAAAATGTGGGATGCTAGTCAGAAAATAGTCAGCATATAATTCCTATCAAAAACTAGTTCATTGTTTGAAAAGAAGCGAGTTTCAAAATTTTGCCTGCGAACAAGCCTAATTGTGAAAGCTATGAGAGTTGGAGGAATTGCTGTGGTTCGTACGACCAATCGTCTCTTAGCGCTGCTTCTCTAGCCTACTACAGTCATTCTTTTGTTGGTAAACACTGAATTACAAGTAGGGCAGATATGAATATATTTACAACGAAAAGCAATATTTTGCTTTTATCTATGAAAATTTTATACATGGGTGATGCCAAAAGGTATCCACTTTTTTGAAAAATACATAAAACATATATTTCCAACATCATTATCAAGCTTGAACATTAGTCTGTTTTTCTGCATCATTCCGGGTAATGAGTTTTTGTAGCCGTGGTCATACCAGTTCTCTGCCAAGTCCTTAACCTCATCTTTCACCTCTTCGTCAAAACTGAATTGACTTGTCAAATACTTTTCAGCTTAGGGAGCAGGTGATACTCACTGGGTGGTGGAATTTAGATGAGCTCCCATCAAATCTGTTCCAAAAGAGCAACAGTTTGCGTGCGTTGTCGTTGGGGGAATTCTTATGCCTTACTTAACATGCCTCTTTTTCGGCTCTTGAGTTTTTCCAGATATCACGATACCTCCTTTCAGCTGTTCTCGGAGTTGAAAAAGTACAGTCAGCCGAAAAGCGACGATAAAGTGCAATATGAGGTTTAATTTTTCCTCAAAGACCTAGGGGCGAGCTGATATGACATCGCATGCAAAAATGCATCGACTGCAGTGGCGATGGTGCACAAAAATAGACCCCAATTCTCAAGCTTTATAATTGTGTATAAATTATTGGAAATAAATGCTTCATTAACTTTTAAAAAATAGGAGTCGTTCCTTTTGGAATTGCCCGCATGGCATTGCCATTTTGCGGTGAATATACAACTTAACAAGCTTGCATGGTCAATTCTTTTGTGCAAGCATGACTGAGTGTCCGACAATTTGGCGCAAGCATTGTCAACAGCTTGGTAATTGGTTGAACTTCAATAAAAAATGCTTCAACATGAGGCGCATATGCAGTATATACTTATGTGCTTCAATGTGCAAGGTTGTGCAAAAATGACACACATGCTATAGCAAACCTTAAACGCTTGCTACACAAATAGCCACAACGGGAGCGATACCTATTTCCTCGACGTCCCATGCTAGGAAAAATTGGCAACCATGAAGAGCGATGTTCATTTAAGGTACTGTTTAGCCAAACTTGCTTCAATTTTTACTGTAAGCGCAAGTTGTTCTCAAGTTAGGAGGACTTGACTGCATGTTTTTTGGTACGACTGAAAAAACAATCTAAAGGTCACTGACAGTATTGACAAGGGAAGATAATACTGTATTAGTTGTTCATTTCACGTTTGTTTGCTATGATTGCTGTTCTCTGAAGTTTAAGCCACACGTACAGCTACAAAACAACAAGTGCACAACAGCTTGTGCTAAGTTAACACCTTCTATCATTTTTTAAGATACCCGGATCCGCTTCTTATAAGCAGAAATGTCTGTTTTAACTTGTAATGTATAATCGAAACTTTTAAAATCAGATAAAACGTGAAAATAATTTGATGAGTATGAATACTAAAAATTGTGTTACATTCAGATTAAAATGTCATAGTACTCTAGATATTTACCGGGTGCGCCATCTTTTATGTCGGTATTGAAACATCTAATGACTTGGATATTTTAGCAACCGAGTGATTTGGTTATACGTGTTTCTGAAACGTCAAGTTACTACAATTTTAGTCATGAATCGTTTTACACCGAAGCAACGCGCCGAAATAGTCACCAAGGTACATTGAAAATTGTCGTTCAGTTGTGTTAACGCAATGTGCATATCGTCGAAAATATCGTGGCAAACATCTGACATCACTATAAGTCGTTTGGTTTCGAATTTTCTTAAATACGAGATAGTGGGAGATCGTCAACATACCGTTCATCAACGACGAAGACGTTCCATTGAATTGGTTGAAGCGGTCAGAGACAGCGTTGCCCAGAACCCAAAAGTGTCGTATCGTCACCGCGCTCAGCATTTTGGCATCAGTGGAACCACATTGCGGCGCATTTTGAAGGATGATTTGCTTTTGTTTCCTTATAAGGTGCAGTTAACACAAAAATATTGCCAACTGACCGTCCACGTCGCTTGGAATGCGCCCAAACAGGCGCTCGCATGGTTGATGCTGAACCTGATTTTTGGAAGCAAATTGTGATGACCGACGAGACCCATTTCACGCTCTCTAGTGGCGTTAATAAACAAAACTGCCGCATTTGGAGGACGGAAAATCCACATGAGATCCACTAAATGCCGTTGCATGACCGGAAAGTGACTGTTTGGGCCGGCGTTTGCCCCAAAACCATCATTGGGCCATTTTTCTTCAACGAAAACTAAACAGTCGATGCAAATCGATATCGGTGGATGTTGGCTCATTATGTCTGCCCACAAATGCGTGAAAAAGGTCTTGATGGTTACTGGTTTCAACAAGACGGTGCGTCATGCCACACTGCAAATGAAACAATCCAGTTTCTGCAACGAAAATTCCCTGGACGTCTGATGCCAAAAAGAGGTGATATTGACTGGCCACCCAGGTCTCCAGATTTCACCCCACCGGACTTCTTCTTGTGGGGTTATTTTAAAATTCAAGTGTACGCCAGCAAGCCCTAGACCACTGAAGAACTCAAGGCAAACATTCGTACCGCAAACGCCGCTATACCACCAGAGATGCTCGAAAAAATAGTGGAAAACGCAGTAAAACGGGCACATTTTGTTTTGGCCAATAAAGGTGGTCACTTGATAGATGTTGTATTCAAAAACTAGTCCCAATAAATTGTAAAGGACCATATTTAATAAAAATATCCGTTATATAGAAATCAGTTTTTCGTTTTCACAGTTATCTCATGTTTACATACCGACATGAAAGATGGCGCACTCTGTAGTATACTGGTAAGAAATGCCAAATTACTTATTAGATATTAAAATGTGCTTCACATTGGTAGAGCTATATCAGAAACACCCTATTTGTCGGTATAATTTTGTTTGACAAAATAAAAACCAGTAGGTGGGCAAAACACTTATGAAATGGTTGTCAATACTATCAATAATTGAAGATCAGAGCCGAACAATTGTTGCAAATCAACACCACATAGTAAAGTGACTTTCCTGTTATCGTAGGTTTATTATACAGCATTAAATATTTGACAAAATGGTACTATCTGCCCTAACAGGTAATTCCAAATTCATAATTGAAGTATGGACTAGGAACCACCAGTCAAATACATATCTCAACATTCCTTATCACCTTTTGAAGGTGTTTCAACTATTCATAAATTTAATGACTGACTAAGTGTATTTCCACTCTTCCAGTTTACAGGATTTCCAAAAAACTTCTCGTGAGCACTGATTTTTTGAACCCTTTGGCCTTCTCTGGCCGATTGTGTATTTTTGGCCGAATGTTGGTCGGACCCTTAGCATTATATAAGAAGGCCAGAATCGTTAAAATAAGCTTGTTCGAGCCTAGCATATTCCTGGAGGAAGCAAGCTTGTTCAAGCATATTTCTACAGCTGTATTGATCTTGTAAAATTTGTATCAACGGTGACTGTAGTACGTGTGCCTAGCGCTAGAAAACATTCTCTGGAAACGACTGGTTCCTCAACCAAGCCATTTCGATCACTCCAGCTTCTTTAAGCTCGATTGCCTAACTGCTAAAAGAAAATTCAGCGTGCTCTTCAACGCCAAAGCTGAGTTACAAAATTTCCTTTAATCCTGATTTTCGTACAAATCTCCACGCAATAAATGGAAATACTGCTTTCTGTATGTTCTCTTTTATGTGTGGATATTACCGTACAATCTCTGTACAGAAGCTATACAGTGTCTATTACAAAGGTCATTTCAAAATACTTCAACTTGAACATACGTACAGTACAATAAAGTACAGTTGCTTTTTCATGTTAGCCTTATGTGTTTATATACGTTGTTATGAAATTGCAAAAGCCTATTTTGAATTGGCATTCGTAAAAAAGACATCTTATGAGGTATGTACAGAAAGTTCTAAAGCGATTTTTTCTTCGTGTAAATAAATCGTCAAATAATACAGTGCCAGATGCTTCATGACCTTGAAATGTATAGCATTGAAAAACTTAAGGATGCGTATACACTGAAGTATGTTACATTTTGAAAGAAAGCGATACCAGTAAATATTTTCAGTAATACGTTTCCATAAAAATCATGAAGGAATTTTACTTTCCACGACAACTGGCGAGGAATTACGGTAACCGCAAAAAAAGTATATTATGTAATTATATATGTTTTTCCTATCTTGCATGACATTTACATCACGGAAAACGATGTCACTTGTTTCCCTCGGTTTGTTTGTCTATCCGCTAATCCTTGGCCCCTCCATCACTAGGAATTACCGCTCGGATTTTGATGAGACTTTGACACAGTGTTGCTGGCATGTCAAAAAACCTTGTGGGTTTTGAATATTGATCCAGTGGAGTTACGGACAAAAAAAACGAAAAAATAAAACCGCTGCAACTTCTTTCTCGGTTTTATGATGGGAAAAAATAGGGTGTAGGGGGTTATACGGGATTTTGATGAGATTTTGACGGAAGGGTACTAGCATATGGAGGACAGAAAACTTTGCGAATATTGATCCAGTGGCTGCGTGTATCTCAATTTTTTAACTTCAACCCCGGTAATCCTACACACATCAGTCGATTTCTCACAAACTTTTCCATTTATTTGCCCTTAGGCTTGGAATGAAATATTTTCAACAGCCTCGTAGATCGCGACAAAAAAATAGATATTAAACCTGCCGCAAGCTGACCACTGACAAACTACACTCATCACAATGTTGTCAAATGGGTGGTGACTAAATATATATTGGCATATTTGACTGGTTTAATAAATCTAGGTATTGATATCAGCGTTGCTTGGGAAGCACAGAAATAGTTCACCTGTTGATGACGCCATTCTGATGTTTCGGTTCATTAAAGTACAGGGTGTTTTCAAAGTTGAGTGATTTGTAGAACTCGTCAAAAGAAGTTGATATACCAAAAATCACCTATATAAAACTTGCATAATAAGAGAGATAGTTTACATTATTAAAAATTATTCAAAAAAACTGTTCAAAATTGTCCCCATTTGTTCGATTAACGCAAAATCTTGCTCGGCGAATGCATGACTTTTTACAAGCTTCGAAAATTAAATCCTGGTGACCACGAATTAAAGGATTTTCAGTGCGCTGTTGAAGTTCTTCCAGAGCTTTCAAATAGCCCCACAGAAAAAATCACAAGGCGTTAAATCCGGGGAGCGAGCAGGTCATTGCACCCTATCCATATATTCGGAAACTCATTATTTAGATGTTCATGAACTTCTCGTCTGAAATGTGGTGGAGCCCCATCATGTAGGAATCACATAACATTTCAGCTGACCTCCTCGTTGTTGTTTTAAAAATCCTGTGTCACGAAGTGTAATAACTAAATGTACAAACATCCGTGGGCCGGATGATTTCTGGGAAACCTTTCCGCATACAACCTGCATGCTGCAGCTGCATTTTGTTGGCACTCTCCGTATGTTAGTATTATGTCCACGAGTTCATTGTTTTCGTAAACGTGGGCCATTTTTTCGCTCAAAATAGTCAGACAAATGAAAGTATACGCACTATTAAAAGACTGATACAACTGATCGAACCAAAGACTCGTACTGAAAACCATAACAATAACACAGAAAGTTTACCAAATTCAGATAAACGATAAGAGTAGTAAACAAAAAACGAGGTCGAGAATATCAAAAAATCTGTGCAATACCATTCGTATTTTTTAATATTTCCTTTATTTTGCAACTTTTATATAGGTGATTTTTGGTATATCAACTTCTTTTGGCAAGTCCTAGAAGCACTTAAAATGAATGACTCAACTTTTTAAAGATCCTGTATAAGTGTACAGAATGTTGTTAAAACAATTTACGATGATAACTTTTATGTCTAAAAGCAGCAGTAGCCATCAGGGATCACAAATTTTGGAAGTTCTTTGCTATAGATTTTTCAGATTTTGTAAATTGGAATAGATTTGCATTGCACGGTATTTGTAGCGATGGTTGGAAGGAAAAATCTGCATGAGCATTCTTGTACATACCAAGGTTACAGAATATACATTATTGAAAGCAGACAGCTTTCTCGTTGCGAATGAACACAAAATATACAAATGTGGGCGATGGTACTCTATAGGTAAGCCTTGTTTCTCAAAACTTCACACCATACATTGCCGAAGACGAACTTATTTGGTTTGAGCATGAAAGTGAACATAAAAATTTCGCTGTTTGGGCACAAGAAAGTTAAGAGATACATAGGCCAAAGTTGTATGTGTATACGGGTGTCTGCTAAAAAGCTTTATCTATATATGACAAAATCAGTTCCAGCTTTTGCTTTACTTTTGTCATATGGTACTCTCAAGTATCACAACAGACATTTATATGCTTGAACCTTGACCCCCTATAGCACGTTTTGTGCCCATGAAAACTTTTAGTGGTTAGATCATAATGTGCGGCTTTTATTTATTGAAGATTATGTCATTTAGATGTCTCCTATTTCAATACATATACTCATAACAAACTGAAACATAGCAGGTTCAATTTCACTTATTTCGCGACGGAGTATTAACTTTGTTCTTGTGATACGCCAAAAAAAGAGTCAATGGGTGTCAAACCTGGTGGTAGCGGTGGCCATGCCATTTTCTTTGAAAATGCGAGATGCATAACGATAAATGATGTATTTTGACGAATCATTTTATACCCCAGCTTAGAAAACAATCTGCGCACAGTTCATGGACGTGGTTCAAGCAAGATTGAGCCACCTGCCACGCTAGGGCTAATGTTCTGAGCCGTTTCCACAAAAGTTGATGTATGTTTTCCACTGGGGGTTCTTCAAGAGCAAACTATACGTTAATACTCCGAACATCGCTGATCGGAAAAAATACTTTGGCAAAATTGAACCGGCTATACCTCAGCATGGTAAAATGCGTCGAACAAATTTCACGAGTGCTTCATTCTACTTCAAAAAGCATTATGGTGAAGCATCGTATGGTGTGAAGTCTTTTGAATTCCAGAAGTACAACCCGCCCATTTGTGTTTGAAGCTTCTCCGCCACCAAAAATAGTTCACGGCATGTTGACTCTACACAAATACGTTATACGCAGTATTTTTGAAGAAGCCTTTATCCAGTTGCCCACCGCTAGTTGTGTGGCATGTATATATGGATATTGCATGGTTGTACTTTAAGGTACTGGTACTACATATTGGAAATGCTCTCTAGCAGAAGCAGAAGTAGGTCAAGAGTGCCTATTTAAACCTGATGTCAAGTAACATAGTGGAAGAGAGTAGACTACGCCACTGTTATGTTCTCTTTCTCTCTTCCATTTTGCTACCTGACTATTGTTCGTGTCTGTATTTAATGTAGTAGTCAAATATCTGATATTCACAGGTTTCTGTAAGGGTTTCTCCATGTGTAGTACCTCACAGTTGCCTCTATGTACCGGTTCTCACACCCACGTGCCTATTTTGCATTTACAATTATTCTTTAGGTGTATACCTTTTGACCTCTACACGCATTGCTATATAGACGCCAGTTCTCAACCAAGGCTCATTGACACTGGTATATTGGTTCTTAGTTGCATGTACTCTTACAAATTACATTAGATTATATTAAATACTTTTGATGAAATCGTGCTTTACATACATTTTTCTAACCCGTAATTTACCTTTGCAAGCCTAGTATTAAAGGACTTCGGTGCTTGGCTAACTTATGTTGTTCGTTGCACAGTATATTTTGCCCATAAAACCTGAAATTAAATAATGATTGTTTAAAAAAACATGCGAACCTTTCAGTTGTATTTGTATCTTCAACTTTGAGAATGCTACCAAAAACCATGGGGTTGAAATATTTGCTAGATTTGCATTTCAAAAACAGTGAAGATTTGAGTACAAGAGGTACCTCGGTATCCACTGTAAATTGTACTGAGGTAGGCGAAAAATCTAACTAGCTCCGCCTTCCACTGGTTTGCCAAGTTGGTCTTCATCCTCATCCCATGCATAGATGTCGCATCGAAGGTGTCTTCCGTCATCTCACATCGTATGGGACGAGGATGACGATCAACTTGGTAAACCATCGGTAGGTGAGATCATCAGATTTTATGCCTACCTCCGTACAATGTTTTGAGTTTTTCAAACGACCATACCCGTTTGTTTGCTTTCCGTTTATTTGTCTCCAGGACTACTCGACCTATACTGCAATGATGAGTTGCTAATGAGCACGAAACAGCGCTGTCTGCAGTTGGTCGTGGTTGCAAAGACGCAAAGCAAACATGCCCATTTAAATAGTTATATTTGGTGTTTAAGGACATATTCTGATGTTTCTAGATCCTTCATGCTTTTGAGGTGCAATGCTATGGATTCGCCAAAACCACTTTATCAAATATTTTTTCTTACCCTTATAGAACACCCATGTGAATATCCCTTGGTATAAAATTTTGTGTATGCACGATGTCAATTATTTGTAGATTCCCTAAATTTTACCTTTAAAAAAACGTATCTCCGACAGCTGTTAAGAAATGTAAGTAGTCAGAAATAGGATGTTACTACCTTTTCTAATGTACAGTGATTTTGGATATCTTCACCTCAGTGCAGTACTTTGCGGAAGTAGTACAATTACTTTTTTGACAGTGCTTATACATATTCCCAAATAAATGATACACTTTTTTCGTCTTACTAAAATGAATTGTTTTCACTGACAAATATGTAGTTCACTTCTTCAATTTCTTACTGTAATTATCCTTCTCTTATATAATACACGATTTCACGAACCTTCCCAGAGCAAGCACAAGGCACTTCTATAAGCTATTTTAACTGCATTCAAAAATCGCATTGCTTTCTATTTGTACAAAAAAAATATTGAAAAATACTGTACACCACCTATACCTGCTAAAAATGACTTTGCTATACTAAACCAAGTGACTATCAATAAGTAATTGTGATTAATTTTCTATTTCTATATTAATATCATGTGATACTTTTAACCATTTTAACACATTAAACGTACTTTCACATTTAAAATTTTTGTGTTTTGTCAACTTTAGGTGTTATTTCAGAATGTCGTATCCACATTTTTGTAAATCCAATTATGTGATGCATAAAATTGTTTTTTATATTTTATCTTCATGAATAACAGATGAAACAGATGTGTTAGTTTAGAAGTGTGATTGTTTATTCATAGTCCGCAGCAGTTTTACACGTGTAACAGAAAATTCCACTTTGCGAGGTTAGCGATCCTATATCGATGAGCTGTACTCAACTAATTTGAAATATCTTCAAATTTCTAACACCTTATATACTCACTTGGTTTAGTAGAAAAGAGATGGTATTCATTGTAAGCCGAAAGCATGCTGGTTGTAAGCTGTTCTATGGGCACGAGAACCGGTGGTGAGGTATACACGCATCAAGAAAACTGTAGACAATGGGTATAACGTTGACCGATTAGGCAAATCTGATGATAGAAAAAGCGTCTGCATCCTTTTTCTCCTCATGGTCAGCTTCAATCGTGTGCTTGTGACAAAAATGACTTCACCAGTTATATATCGTGAAACTTGAATGTCTGAAAATGGCAAATCTAAAAACCCCAGTAGGTGATTTACTTTAGATCAAACATCATAATATCATATACTGGATCTTCCAAATTCGACCCTCACAATTGCAATGTCGGAAATAGTAAGATATTTGGAGTCAGCTAAAATGAGGCGACGTTGCTCATCAGACAACTAAAAAAATGACAATGTTTCGCAATTCAGAGTATTTTTGAGATAAAAACCTAATTTTTCCAAATAGTTTTTGTTCGTGCCTTTATTTGAGATGGAATTTCAAAATAAATTACACATTAACAATTTATTCAGATTCCAAAAATGCATGCCATTGCCAAACTTTCGTTATTTCAAAAAAATACATATTTTGGCCTTGAAAATTACTATCATATGTTCGATTACATCGCTAACTGAAATTTGAAACAGTTTTTGAGAAGGAAGAAGGAATTGCGAAACTTACCGTTCCGAAATCCTAATGGCGATGTCGAATTTGAAACACCCTATATAATTGTTTTCCAATAAGGTAATTTTGGAAAATGAGAAACGAATCAGGTAGACTTTTAAAAATTGTTAGAGATTTTTTGCTGATAATGGTCCGATTCATACATTTCTTTTGAAGGAACAATAAGGATTCTATAAAAAATGAAGTTGACCAAATTTCATACCATTTTGAAATCATCGACCATTCAAAGTTAAATATAGATTCACGAATCAAGAAATTTTTGTTCATAAAAAATAAATCATATTTATACATTTGTTATGAAATGCGGCTGGGTACAAAATTTCCAAATATTCAGGTCTCAAAAAATATATCCGATGTATGTTTGTCATAATTTTGTAACATTCGATATCCTCGAAGCTAAATCTGTTTCCAGGATACGTAGCGCATAAATGGTGGACGTTTTTTTATCGCACCTATTTAAGTGTACCTCCTGTCTTCAGTCTTCGAAATATACATACAGAGTGTCCTAAAGAAGCAGAAAAATAACTACATACCATACTGAGAAATAGCTTTCACTGCAAGCGTAATACAAACGAGTATTTTGAGATCACTTACATGTATACGGGGTATTACGTACGGTTGTGCTATGGTGCATTTTAGAGGTACAACTTTAATAAATATAGCAAAGATATCTCTATGAGGGGTACCATTGTAGTACTGTTAAGACTAGTTATAGATGAAGCCGGTATGAACATACCTTCTTGCGCTCTCTTGTGAAGGAAAGCGGCTATGGAAACAAGGTCTAATCAATTGGACAAAGATCGTGTAATCTAACACCCATGGATTATATTCTGTAAGGATATATCAGTCACTGGTCTATGTCGATAAGCCATTGACAGTGGAAGCTTTAATCAACGTTTGTTTATTTGTTACGTTATTGCAAACATACGTCTTCAAATGCCTCGGTTGAGTACGAGGGATGTCTTTTAAGTTTTGCATATGGAAATAAAACAACACGGTAGGTAGTTTTAAATGACTTTATTGTTTTTCGAAGTATTCTCCGCGAAGATTAATACACATCTGCATGCGCTCGAACCAATTTTCGAAGCACTTATTCCACTCGTTTGCTGGCAGAGCCAAAACGGCAATTTTGAATGCCTTAACTGCTTCTTCTGGTGACTGGAACCTTTGACCACGCAGTCTTTTTTTAATTTTCGGGAAAGTAAAGAAATCGTTAGGTCTTAAATCGGGACTATATGGAGGATGGTCCAATAATTCCACGTTTTCTTCCGTTAAATACTGCCTTGTTTTTTGGGCTGTGTGCGAGCTTGCATTGTCTTGGTGGAGGATGATTCTTCTTTCGGGGTTGATTTTTCAAAGCTCGGTGATGACTTTTCATAAACAAATGGTGGTATTCCAATCCGCAGTAACAGTTCTTTGCTCATTAAGAGGAATTTTTGCAATATGACCCGCTTTTGACACAAATGTCGCGACCATCTTTATCGAGAACGGATGATTTTTGTTGGCTTTTCTTCACCTTGGAACACCCAAACAGCCGACTGTCGTTTATTTTCTGGTTCATAACAGTAAATCCACGATTCATCACCAATAACAATGCTGTACACATTTTTTCAGTTTCCGGAATTGAAACGGTCAAGCGTTTTTTGACACCAATTAACCCTGGCTGCTTTCTGCTCATCAGTCAACAGGTGGGGTATCCAACGAGAAACTAATTTTCTTACTCCTAATTCTTCATGTAAAATTTTTTGAATTGAGGTCTTTGAGATCTTCAAGGACGCCTCAATCTCGCGATATGTCACATGTCTATCTTCAATGGTGAGCTTGCGCACAGCATCGACGTTTTCGAGGGTGACTGCCGTTTTTGGTGCACCCACCCTGGGATCGTCGCTAAGACTCACCCGTCCACGTTTGAATTCTCCATACCAACGAGAAATCGTCGACTGATGTGGCGCTTCGTTGCCGAAAACAGACAGTAACTCAGCAAGGCATTCTTGTTGCGATAATTGTCTCTGAAAGTTGTAATAAATTATGGCGCGAAAATGCTCGGTTGAGTTCCATTTTTCTAATGACTTGGTGACACTTAAAAATTCACTGTAGTGAGTACACTGCACGTATCGTTGTGAAACTTTGAATTTAAGTTTACTAAAACTATGTTTCTATATGCAAAACTTAAAAGACATCCCTCGCAGTGACTCTTAATCACTCTGCAGTTACAACCTTTACAACGATTTCTTCGTTTTATTTTATTTTTAAGTATTGTACCTCTAAAGAACACCAATATTAAAAAACTATTTCGTATATGCATGATGAATTGATTTTGGAGTGTGAATTATTTTTCAGTATCTGTAGCGTTTCATATTTTTGCTATATTGGGACACTCTGTGTATGTATATATATATATATATGAAATAAATGTTCTAAATAGCAGTGTGTTGGATGTGCTAAGCTCGCAACAACCTGTACGGGAATGTTCTCATTTTAATTCTCCTCGTTTTGGTGTTTCTTGTTAATTTCAGATTCGAGTAGTAAATGCTTTCCGACAGGGCCTAGATGCTAGGTATGGTGAACACAGCAATCCTTCCTTAGCCGAGGTACTTCGGAAGCAGACATCCCTATCTAAAAGGCTATCACAAACTTCTTCTATCGAGTACGCCGACAACATCCCAGATGAATTGACGATACCAGACATTGACGTGGAGCGGTTATCCTCCCACAGTCACACGGAGACAGCTGTCTAGCTCCCTTCCAACTCTAACTCCTAGCTCTGTCTGCTTTCATCCTATCGTTACTACCATATTACCGTCACGGTCGTTAGTAAACAGGTAACAGACAGGATTCCACTTCGTCGTGCCCCAACACTGTGCAATACTGAACCTAGAGAACCTAACTTTCCACTGTTTCCGCCTTCTCTGTTTGTCACATCCTAAGGAACATTCAAACTAAGTTTGGGGTTCAGTAGAACTAGCACAAGGACAAAGAATTAGCTTTGATTCTAGAATCGAATGCTAACAGATAACTTTACGTTGAAGACGTCCAGATATGTATGAAAGAAATAAAAATTCGATGTCTTGTAGTATATAAAGTTTGATTTCTCTAATTCTGATCTCAAATTCTAATATCGAAAGACAGTTCCGACTACTAATTTTCAAATGCAGTTTGAAATGATTTATAGAATGTTTGTGAAGTGGTACGATAGGTATTTTGCTCCAACAGGACAAAAACTATATTATTTGGCAATTTACTGTACATATACCAATTTAAACATGTTTAACACTGTTCATATACCTGCTGTTTGAAATATGTAATAATATCTTATATATAACTTAGGAGCAGTTAGGTTGTCATAAGGTATTGTGATCGACATATGAACATACGCACATGTTTGCTAATCAGCAATGAATATTTTATTCCATGTCCTGGGTTATACAGGGTGGTCCATAATGAATACGCCAAAAATCAATTTTGGATTAAAGTCGTGAAAATTATGCTCAATTAAAATGTACCTCGTAAATCAATAGGGTGTCGTAGTCTAATTTTCTACAGTTGAACCTATTTTTGAGGTTCGATATTAGGAAATTAGGAATCTGGAGTTTCTGAGGGTAAGGAATATGATTAAAACAAATTTCTAGTTTTCAAAATGTTCCATAATTTTTTGCTCTAAAATTATCACTCCGCGAAAAGTTTGAACGACGTTCTTATACTGATTTTTAATTTAATCGAAGATACTGTTTTGTGTTCTCTTTTTATACAGCTGTATTAAACGTTTTCATTTTTAACTTCAACCCTTACTTTCTGAACCTGTCCCATGGGCACTTTATCGCTATAGATTTGGCAGGAATTCATTCTTTCTTTTCTGCTGTCTCATTATGAAATAAAACTTCGACTCTCTCTCGACATTTTACGAAGGCATATTTACGAGTTTAATTCATTATGGAGCAACGTTTATAGAAACCATACGCTGGATACTGAATATGAACATTTGTCACGCTTTTGCCAAATATTTCCAAGTAATTATGAGACAGCACATAGTCCTGCATTAGTTTTTGCATTTTCATATTTTCTCAGTATCAAATATAAAATTTTATTTAGGTACTGTACTCGAAAGTTTTCAGTTGTGAAATAAATCGTAATAATTATTTTTACATCCAGATTTTCCTTTGACCCATCTCGATATACTGATAGGAATAATCTTATAACATTTTTTATATATAATATCTCGATATCAAATTAATTGCTAGAATGTTCTTTATTAACTTCTGGACGGGCTTCAGGTAAAGTTGTTTTTGTCTGTGTTAATTCCTAGAATATGTACTATGATAAAATCTAATTCTACTGAACCAAAAATCGTCCGAAATATAAAAACCAAAATGTATAAACTAAATCAAATAAAATCAAACTGTTGTTCTTGGCTTGATGTTTTGGTGTTAGCGGAGTGTCGATGGTAGAAGGTAGACATTAGAGGAAACCAATGGTGCTGTTTCATATTGTACATAATTAGATCGCAGTTATATAGTGCTGAACTAAATTTGAGGAATGATTATTTTGAAAATATCACCTTTTATCACGAATATGCATTTCAACTTTTGTAGGAATGTGCTAGAGAGATTCATCAACCCCAGAATTAGATGAAGATGAGTATGCAAAATATTAGTACCACAATACATTAACGGATATGCAATGCAAAAATTGCTAGTTTCTCTTTTCATTGAATTTCTGTTTGCCAATTGATACTTATCAAATAAATAAGTGATTATGTGACCAGACGCTTTTATAGTATAAACATAGGACCGATATTGTTTCTTTTCCAACAAGTTTTACACTTTTTTGAAACTTCGCGAAGTTTTTTGAAATTGCGTGCACATATGCAACCCAGGAAATTTAAATTAGATTGAATGAAAAAAAAACGCGTCAATAAAACCTCAGCCGTCCAAAGAGAGAGTTTTATGGATTTGAATACGACGATCTATATGGTTTTTCATTAGTGATTTTACTTGAATTTCTGGCAATATGTTTGGAAAACGGATTTTCAACTGAAAAGTTTAATCTTGAAAACAAAGCAGACATGTCAAAAATGTCTCTGCTCTAAAATATACGTTTTGAAAGAGGATATGACTATTATTTGGTCTGCTTTGCATACTGAACTTCTAGACTTTGTACTAATTTGGATAGTGAAAATTGTATGCAATTTTGATGCACTTTTACATGTATACATAATAGAAACTGTATATTTGAAGCAAAAAAGGTTATACTTTTGTAAAATGGATCCTTCCTTAGATTTAGTAGTGCAGTGTACGATCTCGACGCGCTCTGAAGACATCCGACCTTTTGACGCACTGTTAGTTCGTTGAATTTTTCAATTATATTGTTAGTGTTTTTCGGTATGTACTTTTTGAACAGAATATATGCCGTGCTCCCATGAACTAAACTTAGCAATAAATGAGTGTCCATATGTTCACTCATAGCGTTTAAATTAGGTGCCTAGTTGAGACTGTCGATTGAGATACGATTGTCTCACGAATTAGGACCAACGAAAATATTTCAGTACCGCTGTTGAGCTCCGAAACATGTAAGGAAAGCTTATAGCATAAAATCAGTCTAATGATATAAGGGTTATTCTTATTTCAGAGAAAAAAAAATATGTTAGGTGGAAATATATCCTATTTTCAAATTTACTTCTGGAAGTAGTTATGCAATATAAGAGGTATCTCTCTCCTTTACAAAAAGTATCAACACCTTGTTGATATATAAATTAATATAAATTTAGCCTATGAAGATTGTATCTTTGTGAAATAAATTATATTCATTGCTAAAAATACCTCAATTATAAGTATATATTTCATTTTTTGGATGTTACTAAAGACGTCCTTTTTTATTTTCAAAATTCTGTGCGGTATTTTGTTGATTAATACATGCTGTAAGAGTTGAGATCGTTTTTTCTATCATGACCATTGATCATTTTCTAATTAGAAAATCAGTAGATTTTATTATCTGACAATTGGCAACACTAGCTTTTGGTTTAGATCTAATAAGTCTATCTTATGACAAACAACTTATCAACAAAGTGGGTATGGTTTTTATTTGTGAACACGGTTTGTTTGTGTACTTCCTGGATTTGGTCAGACATACCATGTCACATCCTTGGTTACAATACTTAAAGTAATTGTCTATATTTAATTTTAATTGTAGCATGTATTAGTTGGGCAATATTTCTGATCAATCGCGTAAATTAACCAACACCAGCATATTCACAATAGTCACAAATATGGGAATCACGATTATACACCTAGAAGGGATGAAACCGGAATCATAATAACAGTTCACTTCATTTTTGCTTGTCACTGAAAATAAGAATGACCCATAAGGTATTTTATGGGTTCTCATTTATTTTATTGCATTAAAACAATATTCGAACAATGAAACATCTACTTCCTAATTCCTTTTAGATAGTGGACATTGCTAGCGTTAGTTACGATTTGGTGTATCAATTCGACTTGTTACCTACATAGCTAAGTGTATTCTTGAAAAATAACAATACAATTAATGTTGAGCAACAAATTGAAACAGCTGATGTTATCCTCAAACCTCAACTGTCGGTCCACTTTACTGTACTCTACGGGTTACTGATGATGTAATTGACTCCTCCATTTAAAACTTAGATCAGATTAGAGAAGAAAGATTAGAAGAAAAGGGATTTAACTTGCAAGCCCATACTGATAGGGCCTTGCATGTAATTTTCCGATGTTGGATTTGTGATTCCTAATATCTGAGACCTTAGCCTTGTCAGGCCTTCGCAGTGTCACAAGAGACGCACTGGCGTTTCCACAAGGTCTCTGCAGAATCTGCTCATGAGTCTCATATGTTGACTTAGTTAGGAGACCCAATATGGCCCTTATGGCCTTCCCATTGAATCCGAGCAGATCCTTTGTGAATGCAGGTTTTCGTTGTTTGCCTGCCTTTTGCCTAACTGGCTGTTCCACCATTCTAGGGACTTTTCTTTGTCCAATTTTTTATGGACTTGAAAGGTTCTGGACCTATAAGGCGATGTTTCTACACTAAGATCCGCCGTACAAAATAACTGCATTATATTCCGAGAATACACTTCCAATATGATTTTCTCGTTGCCACTTCTGAACTATTACCAAATAACTGTAAATTCATAAATGTTGAATTAGAACGTATTTTGTAATGACGATATTAAAAATGGTCCTATTATTCCAGATTAAGTGTTAGTTCTGGATTTTATTATAGAAGATTCGGGACGAGCAACAATTCCATTTCACCGGTTGCCAAGGGTTCTAGAATCACTTTTGAGCTAATTCTGGTTGTGGTTCAAGCAATCTGGAAGAGCAATAGTATAGAGATATTTGAGCTTTTGTGTAAAGATGATCGGTATTGAAAAGCTTAGAGCGAAATTTCGTTGGTTCTTGTTCAAAATGCGATTTGCTGCCAGTTGCCCAGACGCTTAATTGTGGGACAGCAAACTGCTCTTTATTTACAGTAAACATCAGATGTTATCTGCCAAATGTTTGAGTAAAGGGACGGGAACAAGGATTCTATTCCTTTTTTCAGTATTTCATATATGCCCCATTAAACTAAAAAATGCTTCAATGTGATGCATTTTTACGTATTCGTTAAATCATAAGTCAGTGAAATTATGCTTACAATTTTTAATAGATTTAAAAATCCCATTTATTAGTAAAAATGGTTGAGCACTAATATATGAAAAGACATTGTGGTGTGGAAGAAGTTTCGTTTGATGTCACATAAACTGGTGCTATTATTTCAGCAGTATTTTATGATCGGAGAGATCGTTCCTCTGTCCTGTCCCTTTCTTCCACTTTCACCGTTTTAGTGTAATCTAGGTCTAAATATTTAGTGTGTAGTTCAGAAGAAATTAGAAACACAAATTATTCATATATAAAAATAAATTGTACATACTCATCAATACTTAAAAGTATGTGTCTCCTAAGTAGGTACATATACATAAGTACTCATGCAGAGGTGCTAAGTGCTTTTAAGCGCTATAGTTGATACCTCACCAGTTATTTTGTTTTATACATGTGTATTTGTTTAAAAAGAGTACTATATTATTAAAATAGTATTTGATAAGTTGTGTTAAAATGGGATATAGAGCAACAGGGGACGTTCGTATTAGGAAATAATATTCTCACATAGTTGCGGCTTTGTACTTACACGTAGAGCGTCAGACATATGTCTGCAACTTTCTAGCTATGTGACCATCGTGTAGTTGCAGAAAACCCTGTTACGTTTTTCACTGCATTTAGGAAGTATACTCCGCTCATTAGTTATTTGAAAATCAGTAGCTATAGCTATATAGCATGATACTTATCTGATCACACTGCTTTTCATATTTTTCGCAATAGAAAGGTATTTTCTGCTGCATGGAACAGGTGTCAAATTCTCCATACTGTTGCACAATATATGAGGCTTAAATCGTACGATAATTTCTAATATTGTCTGCATGAATCTTATTCCTCCATGATATTTTCATCTTGTTGGACAAGCTAGTCTGCTTACTGGCATATATTTTTAGCATTTTTTCAAAATTTGATAGTGCTGAAGGCACATTCCACTGTAGGAATTCCTGTATAGAAACTATTATCTTTGCACCCATGCGCTTCAGACCTATCAAAATTGTACTTGTGTTTCTCTTTTCTGTCATACATCTATGAAGCTTTCAAAATTTCTTAGAATAGGTTTTATCCTATCTTTCAGTATATAATGTTACCGGGTTTTCTTCAAATAATTTTGCCTGATGGGCTGCCCAAAAATACTTTGTATATTGTTGTTTTCGCTGTTTGTTGCTGAACGAGTGATATTTAAAAGAGTGATAACTATAAGACAATGACGTCGCCTGTTTTTCTCACCCATTCACGCACACATTTATCCGTATCGGATTTATTTAAAAAAACATGGTCGGAACTCTTTGCGGAATCTTGAATCTACTGAATGGTTTCGAAATACGGCGTTCTCCTCACACACACGGCGTATTTTTGAAATATATATGGTGCCTATTAAATATCCAAACTGCCCGAGCACTCTAAAATCAACCATTTTTTTAAAAGTTCCAACTTAAGTTTAACGGTATCAAAATATTTGTCGATGACCTAGAAGTTTGTAGATTTAAATGACAACCACCATTTTGGACACTAGATTCGTGTAGAACTTGAGATTCTGCATCAGAGTCTGTTTTCAAAGAGGTCAAGCGGTCATCAGTGGTCCAATCGGTATGACCTACCATGACGTTTGAACAGTACGCGAACATCCCGAAAACTTGTCAGGCACGCGTTTTTTTTTTGAAATTTCTCAAACAAAGGGTTCAGGATATCAGAAACGCAGTTTGTCGATGATCTCAGGTATGACCCAGATAATGACCTTGAAGGTCATAACTCGTGTTTGTAGGTCAAGTTTGCAAATTCAAATAACCATTACCATATTTCATGTGGAGCTCGACATTTTACATTACAGTACATTTTTATACATTATTTGGGCATACGTGGTCCAATCAGTATGTCCTATTGTAATGTTTGAAAGCTACATGAACACCTCAAAAACTTGATAACCATACATTTTTATAAAAAAGGCGTTAACAAAAGTTTCAAGATATCAAAAAAGCAATTTATCGATTACCTCAGCCACCATTTTTTACAGCAGATTCGTGTAGAGCTGGAGATTTTACGAATGTTTCTACTGCTCCCAAAAATGTTGCTATTTAAATTTTAAAACGAAACCCCCAAATAACTTCTGAAATAATTGTCTATCTATTATCTGTGATCATCGAGATATTGTCTTCTTGATATTCCGAAACTTTTGATAAAATCTTTATAAAAAAATGCGTGGTTGCTAATTTTTCGTGTTACAGTAGTTCGTACTGATTGAACAACTTGTGACCACTTGACACTATGTATGAATATGCATTCTGATGTAGAATCTCAAGCTATACACGAATCTTCTATCTAAAATAGTGGTTGCAATTTGAATTTACAAGCATGTCCTCTGAGGTCGTTATCTAGGTCATATTTAAGATCAGCATCAATTTGGGTTTCTTGATATCCTGAAAGTTTTATTAGACTTTTTTTCGAAAATGCATAGATGTCAAGTTTTCGGTGTATTTGTGCAGTTTTAAGATGTTACAGTAGGTCGCACTGATTAGGCTGGCCACTAATGACCACTTGATCTCATGGTGTAGAATCTCAATATCCACACGAATCTGCTGTCAAAAATGGTGGTTTCTATTTGAATCTACAAGTCTCTGAGTGACCTCTAACGTTATTACGTAGGTCGTATCTGCGAGCACCAACAGATCGCTTTTCCGATACCATGGAACTTTTATGAGAACCTTTCTTTAAAAAAATCTGTGGTTGCCGAGTATGTTCGGATATTTAACAGATACCCTGTACGTGTACTTTCGACATATGCTTGGACTCTTACTTTATTCAACGGTCATAGTCCAGCAGAATTTTTATTCCAACGATTTGTTTATTGTTGAAAGCTTTGGAATGCCATTGTATCCACATCGGTCTTTGTGTTGTTATTTCAGTAAGGTTATACATATAAAGTGTAGGAATTTCGAAAAACGGGCTTGATGAAGCAATTCGATGTTATTTCAAAGTTCCTGTTTATAACAAATTGTTGGGATTCTCACACACTTCTATATATAATTCTCTTGGACTATATGTTTTACTTGAAATGTCTCTATATTAGATTTAAATTACAAAATCTATCATAGCGATATTTAATATTTCCCATGCTAATGTCTTCAATGATCTTTTCAATCTAAGATTCTGTAACTAAAATAAAAAATCGTTATGCCGCAAAATCTAGAACACTTCATTTCATTGCTATAACAATCATTTACATTTTTGGTCATATCAGATTAATTTACCCCTTATTTACTCTTTAGATAACTTTTGTACAGTAGTGCCAATGTATTTCGCTATGAAAATCCAGTATGTCTTCCTTATAGTATTATTGATTTGATGGCACTTAATATTTTTTTAGAGTATACCTCGAAGGCTTCCATTTCACAACTGCATGTCACCTGAAAACATTGCGATGATTTTGAAGTTTGAGTCACCTGCAATTAAGTCCATACATTTTTGTGCGGTACCCATCTTACCTTCTCATGTGATCTTCTTAAAATGTATATAGGTTCTCATATTAAAGTACGATGTTCGTGTGACGTCATGATTTTCTGCTATATTTGTACTTTGTGCAATCTATGGTGGTGGAAACATATCGTCTTATGTTTGTGATTGTTTATAGCAAAAATCTTGTCAACAAAAATGTGGTCACTTAACACTACATAATTTTCACTGTAGGTTTTTAAACTTACACGTTTGTTTTGTTTGCTAAAGTAGTAACTGGTATTTTGTTAGGACTTGAAACGATTATTGAATCTATCATTAAGTTGTAACGGACAAGGGATATAAGCATGTAAAGATGATTGTTATTATTCAAAGTGACCCAGAGTAACATGTCAAATGTCCTACGGGGTTCCGCTACGGAGATACAGGCCTCACTGGAAATCCGTTTTTCTCGGGTAACATTCGAGCGATGCTGTAGAATTCAACAAAATTTTGACAGATTTGTAACTGCTTGGGGGCTCGCAATATGTAGTTCATGAAAATCAATTAACTCATTTAGATTGCTAGGGATGGACTAACCCCAATGCAATATGGCTTTAAAAAATAGCACCCTGTATTATAATGGCGCAACTATAACATTTTTAGAAAGCACAAAAGCTGAAAAAACACACCATGAAACAACCAGACGTAAAGTACCTACTAAGAGTACCCCTCCGGACAGGCTGTTGAAAAAAATGACATTCAACGTTAAGTCGGAATTAAATAAGAATTTATAACCTTAGATAAATCATTACGCTTTTTAAAAATATTGATTTTGGGCTATCATATATACAGGATCTAAGAGTCAGCAATATTACGTTAGGGTTAGTTCATCGCTGATGGTCTAAATGTGTTATTTGTTTCCCATGGAAATCATCAAGTAAGGCTACCAACTACCAAAAGTTGCTTAAGAAAATCCGATTCCAGTAGGATTCTTTATAGAAGATCCCCGTGGGGCATTTTATCATAGGAACCTATTTCATTATTTTTTGTATTCTATGTGTATACACGTAATTGACATGTCATTCTGGGGTACGCTGTACATTGTTATTCATAATTAATATTCGTTGTCTAACGTAGATGAGTCCAAGCTCTATCTTGATGCAAAACGTTCCATATCTGCCCGAAGCAGATCATCTCAGTGTCTGTCAAATCTAGTCATTCACACACTCACACACTCTTTGGCAGATACGATGATCCGGCTAGGTCAAACAGCTGTAGAATGTCTTCCATCCAAAGCACCCTGATGGAACATATTCTATTTTCTACTTCTACCTACCTATTGTAAGCAGTAGATATAATTTAACTATGTTACTTAATCTATAACTGGTTCGTCACACCCTGTCATCTCATACGCTAGTTAAAATCAACGAGCCTTTTCTCATGGCATGTAGTGGTAGTTTTAAAGTAGAGAGGTCTAGCACTTACATCAGAAAGTGGCTACAAAAAGCACGAATTCATCATAAATAAAGTTCTTTGTGTGCAGATAATTTCACTTTTTTCGGGGGAATATAAGAACGATCATTTGATTGATCAAATACGTAAATTTGTGCTTCTTATGCTTAAATATAGACAGTTAACAGTGTCAAATGTTTTTGACACCAAATATTTTAGTGGCCCTATAATTTATTGCTACAGCAATTGATTTATATTTTCATAATTTAATTTAGGTAAATTGTTATATTCCCATTTCGAAATATCGTTTAATAATGAAGATCTGTGATAAATTCGTTTCGTATTTGACACTTGTCTGCAATGTGAGTGTTAGACAGAAAGACCTTGATTCTGTTTGTTTGCCGACCTCATATAAAATTTACCAGATTTTAAATATTTGGGGTGTTGTTAACCAAGTAACAAATGTATGATGAATGTGGGTGCCGAATTTTACTTTGAATAGCATTTGCTCGGCACCTGCCTCAAGAAAAATATGACTAAAAATACCACAAAAAAATCTATGCCAAGTGAATTTGGCATTTTCAGTTGAATGTTGTTATTTGTAATTTATAATGGTAAAATATTGAATCGTTGATTTGTTATACTTATTTTATATACGATGTAAATGAGAAAATCGCCTCTCGAACCATCCTGTGGCAGAAAAATGGATCTGGTGGAATAATTTGGCAGTTGCTGGACATAATTTGCCAGTGATAGCCGATCGTTGCCAGTGAACTTTTATTCTGTGTATGATGTGCTTTTATTTATATGATAAAAATAAGGTGTTTTGAGCCTTAAATTTATATATAGAGAGGTGAATGATATACCGATTGTTAGGATGTTTTATTGTTCCATTTAGTATAATGTCTTTGATTTATTTTTGTGAAACGTTTTTCATCATGCTGTTTAGTTTGTCAAATATTTTTCAAATTCATGTAAATGTTACTTCTTTACCTTTGTAATATAATTTAAGGAAATTACAAATGCTACGAATATTTTCATATTAAACATCAATTTTAAAATATAATCACGCATATATAATTACTTCGCAGTTTTATTTACCTCTACTCCAGATTTCCTTATTCTCATAATCATGGGTTGCAATAATGTAGATTTTAGATGCTCTTACTTGGTAAAACTCTTCTATGGTGTCACTGAGACTCATCAACACAAACTTTTGATACACGGTTTAATTCTATCGTAATCAAAATTTAATTGGTTACGTACTCCGTAACCATTCACACAGAAAGCAGGAACCTAGTTTCAAGGAATAGGTCGGTCGACGAACAGATACAAAAAAAAACTCTAGGTTCAGAAAATATGTTTAAGGATATACACACAACGTCCGAGGTATTACTAGTTTCATTTGTTTACAAAACGGGAAGAGAAAATGGATCTTTGATTTTTTAACGGTCATATTTACATTCAGCACCCTTTACCTATGTACATCACAAAATGCTGTAATATTTTGAGGCATGTACGTATGTAATGTGTGTATATGTATATATGTATGTATGTACATGTGTATGTATATATGTATATTTTGTTTGATATCTGCTACTTAACAACTTGTTTTTTTTGCATGGGTGGTTAAGTGTAAGAGTAGCATGTTGCTAAACTTCGCCACCATATGCAACTCTTGTTTTTCTGTATGAAATTGTACAGTTTAAATAAAGACGATTATTATTATTATATGGAAAAAGTTGCAACAACGGATGGCGTACGAAGAGTTCTATAATATTTTCAGATTTCCTATGAGAGTATTTTCGAAAACTCGCTTATCTGGGTAAATCTGGTGCTTACATCCCCAAGGGTTCCATAAAAACAAAAAAATGCGGCTCTGTCTATTTGACGTTGACGGATCCGTCAGAATTATGTGTCACTTGTCGATATTGGGAATTTGAAATATGTATTAGTAGATAATCAGCTGTTATTTTACCGTAATGGATACTCATGGAAAAGACGGTAATCCGTTATGAACTGATGACACGGCTGTGAAGTGCATAGTCAACCTACTTGATATTGTAATCGCGAAAAGAATCGAAAATGCCCTGATGTTGTTTGAATGTCACATGACGTACATTTCCGTCGGTCTATCTGTTGATCTGTGTGTCTGCTGCGAATTCTTGGCACCTCTAAACCCTATTTCACGAGTATCCATTACGGTAGAATGACAGCTGATCATCTAGTAACATCTCAAAATTGTCCATATCGGCACAGGTCACATAATTCTGATGGATCCGTCATCGCCAGAGCCGAATTTTGTTTTGTTTTTTTTATACACTACAGATCCATTTTGTACTTGCTAACAGCTCTTTTATTTAGAAAAGTTCATTTGCAGAAATGGCCGAAATGCATTACGTATATGGCCTTGTCGACGGTAATGGTGAGCAAGCCAGACGGATTTATCACCAGATATATCCCGATCGTGCTTTTCCAGATAGTCGAACCTTTTCTAATATTCATCATCTTCTTGCTGAAACTGGTTTTGTCCGAAAAGGAACATCTGAAGGTAGACCTCTAAGTGTGAGAACACCTGAAATTGAGGAAGCAGTGCTGCACAAAGTCGAAGAACATGCTGAAACGAGTACGAGGAAGATCGCTAGACACTTAAATATTTGCCATCAAATTGTTTGGAGAAATTTAGTGGTTTTTTTCTATATCCTTACCATATTTTAAGAGTACAGGCAGTACTTTCCATTGATTTTCCAAGGCGTGTGACCTTTTGTCAGTGGTATCTTCAAAAAATTACACAAAATCCGCATTTTGAATCAATGATTCTGTTCACGGACGAAGCTAATTTTTCTCGAAATGCCATTCATAATTTCCACAATAATCATTTGTGGACAGAAGAAAATCCCTATGCCGTAAACGAAACCCATTTCCTACACCAATTTTCGGTTTTATTGGTCCATTCTTCTTGCCGGGACGACTTGACGGACAGACTTACCTCAATTTTCTTCAACAACAGTTGCCTTTGCTGATTGATTATGTTCCGTTAGTAATAAGAAACAATATGTGGTACATGCATGATGGTGCACTATCGCATTTCAGTGTAGCGGTTTGTAATTATTTACAAACTGTTTATCCAAATCGTTGGATTGGCCGCGGTGGGCCCCAAGACTGGCCACCAACGTCCCCAGACCTCAACAGTTTAGATTTCTTTTTGTGGGGCTATCTTAAGACACTAGTGTTATGTTTATGTTGTCAGTTGTTGTTGTCCATTACCCCTAATGTGTGTAATAGAACGGTTTTTATTTTTTACTCAAAAATGGCGCATCGAGGAAAAGCAACTCAAGAAAGACCATTTGTTTTAAATTGAACGGGAAATTCAAAAATAATTTTTATTTGGCAAAAAACTATTGGCGTACCATTTTTTTCTTAAAAAATATCGAAGTCAATACCCGTACGCACGCCACTGTTAAAGCTAAAAATTATTTTTGCATTGAAAAATATGCAACCTTATTAACTTTCACTACGTACTAAATATCAGTGAAATATCTGAAGCGGTTCTGAAAATATTAATTAATTTCCATTTTCCATTTCCATTTTTGTAAGAAAACATTTTTGGACCATAGTTTATAAAGCAAACTAACATTAGTTTTTCATGTAGATTCACACCCTTAAATATTCGCATATCATTAAGGAACACCCTGTATAACTTGAGAAGTACCGCTCGGATTTTGATTAAATTTTCACAAAAGGTGGCCAAGGAAGAAAAAACTTCACCGTTTTTGGAAAGCAGTCCCGTAGCGGTGAAAAAAAAGCCAAAAACAAAACATATTAAAATCGCTCAAACTTTGTTTTTTTTGGCACTTCCGAGGGTCCTGATCATTTTTAGAAACATATTTGTAGGTTTTGAAATTTGGGAGTTGGAGATTGTAGGGGTGGGATAGGATATATAAAAAATTGTCGACCTTCGTATATTTATACGCTCCCAACTCCAGTAATTCTATGCCATATTTCACACATCATAGATTTACCGTACATTTTGAAACCTGGAATGATAGAGAAATGTTTTCGACTCATGTTCTCCTGCGATCTAATATCACCGCCCGGCGAATCGGTCCGGCTGGCGAATCTATTCGTACTGCAGCGCATTCAAATTACGCTGAACTTATTCCTTCATGAACTGATGTCCGCGCTGCGAGGAAAGTGCAGAGTTAACCTACTTGATGCCATTTTTTATACTCGTGCAAGTCAACCTGAGCCATGCGCCGCGCTGAATCGGTCACCCTGTATATGACTTCCCGAAATCTAGTGTGCAGTACTCTTGATGATGTCCGAGATCGTGAACGAGAACCAGCCACAGCTTGCCGCGGTCTGTGCGCATCAGTGCTGCACTATCCACTTGGGAGCGTACTAGTGTTGGGCGATATTCCGTATGTGGATATTCCGCTTGCCGGTTCTTGCGTGTTTTGTGTTGTTATTTTTGTTTACGCCATAGCATGTATGACATCGCTTTGGATTATCCGACATGAATCTTACAGAAGTGACAGTCAAATATCCTAGGGGTGCTACAATTTTTGCGGCTTGTTGTGCTAGCATTTTTTGTGTTCTCGGAGTCATAGGTAAGAATATATTATATGGGTGATTGTTCGGATCCTGAGAATCTTCTTTGGTTATATCAATAAATGAGACTGATCTGATCATAAATTCAGTTTGCTGTACTGTGATATAGGGTGATTCAGAGACATATTTGTATAAAAAATGCTGTCGAAAAAAGTCGTTGTCTACTTATGCCGCATCCGCACCAAACTAACAAAACAACAACTCAATGTTTTTCAACAATTAAGCAACAAATCGGCAACTTTTCGTCAACAATACGTGTTGTTTCTGACGACTTTCTGTTTTGTTTTCATTTCAGGCAACATTGTCGGTGCGATGTGTACTTTGTTGCGAAACAAATATAAAACAGAAAGAAGTATCAAAAACTTACCTAAATATATTCTTTGAGGCCTTCAGTTGGGGCACAAGTTTCCGGTATTATTATCGATATTGCTTGTTTGGATATTTTTGACTGACTACGTTAATGGCATTTCTGAAATTGGTATTTTTTATAAATTTCAGGACCGATCAGCTGTATTAATTCTTCAAAGTTTTCACTGCACATTATTAAAAGGTTCTCGAAAGTAGAACGCATTCGTTCTCGCAATCCAATATCATCTCTTTCACGTGAGGATGGTTTCACCCAACACACACAACTCTGGAGAAACACATAAGCAGCAGACATTATGATAAAATCTTTGAGCTTCTGCCTTTCAGCATAAAAACGCCACATATTTTCACTATGAAAATTTTTGGTGTGAACTGCACGAAACAAAACAACTAAAAACTTTTTTGTCTCTTGGCAATGTGGACATAAGTTTTCATTTTGTTTTGTTTCCAAAAAGTTTGCTCATTTGTTGCGTTTTTGTTTTGTTCCTTGTTTTTGTTTTGAGGCTTTGATGTGGACTTGGACACAGTATCATTTGAAAACTCGAAAATCATACAAAAACAAAGTCTGGAATATGCTCTGTTATTTTCCAAGCCAATTGGCGAGGAAGCATTTTAATTGCCAATCATTTTGAAAATGAGAAATTGCGTTCTTTTATCTTTTCTGATGCTGCATTTCATGAACATTACGAAACCACTGGGCCCATAACCCCTCTGAAATTTGAACATTTCAAGTTTCAAACGACAGAAAAACAAGTTCGAACATTTTCGCGATCTTAATAGCATAGAAATAACATCATGCAGGTCATTCCTAACCTCCTGTTAGAAATGTAAATTTTTATGAGATGTTACATTTGTATAAGCCTTTTGCATTTTTGGTTCACTTGAAACGTTTTACTTCTCACGCAGTGGCGTAGCACCCGGTGCCGAAGTTGGTGATGTCACCCCATCGAAAGTCAAAAGCAATAAATTTTATATGATTTATAAACATCATGGATCATTTCATATTTTTATTTTAAATGTTGAACAAATAACAAAACACAATAAAAACTAAGACAGAAAAATAATTTTATCTTACAATTAAAATCTCTTCTTTCTAGCTTTGACAGCTGCAAAACTCAGAAATAACTTCATCAAAATTTATATGTTGTATTACCTCGTGTTTGATGGCTAATATCTCAACATTGCTAAGCCGCGATTGGGTCATTCTGCCCGCAAATAATATATTATTAATTTTAGATTACTCCTTTCACATGAAGCTACGGACACGCAAACCGTCATAAACAATTTTAGTGCAATCATAAGATTTGGAAGAGATTCTGTAGAATCCCAGTCTATAATAAACTTTAAAAGAGCTAGAGATACCCAATCAGAAACTGTAAAATTAGCGGCCTTTAAGTGTCTTCGCAGTCTTGGTATCTCCAAAAGTAATTCTGTTTATCAGACCTCATCATAAAAATCAGTAAATTTGGATGTAGCTAATTTCAGTTCTTCAATATTCTCCAAAAGCAAAGTATTTGTTTGTACGATCTCAAACAATAAAGAGACTTCGATCTTGTCTGGAGTTCAAGAGTCACCGGGTGGGTGTCACCCCAAGAAAGGTGACACCCGGTGCGGCCACTTTTGGGATTTTGTTCTGATGGATAAAACACTGGAGTGCTGGGTTGCAAGTGGTGTGGGAAGGTTCATCTCAGTGCTACTTACAATTAGCAAATGCTGATTAAAAAATAAATAAATCAACCCGTCCCTCATCCCTTTCTTTTTGTGAGACTGGGTGATAAATCGCACAGCCACGCATTGTCACCCCTCGAATACTTTCTGGACGAACTGTATGCCCCGAAAGCTGTTAATTTTAGCATCACCCTTAACTGCTTTTATTACGGGGAATATAATCTGCCCTCACCCCACTGTTGCAGAATACAGAATCAATAAAAGTCCTGTGGAAGCGTGCCAAGCTTTTAGAAATACCACAAAAGGCAAATAATTTTTACCTGCTAAGGGACCATGTGAGACAGGCCCTGGTGTATAAACACGGGGGATGCAAAGTTGTATCATCCAGTTTGGCATATCACTTTATATGTCACTGGGTTCTGTACAGAACGCTGAAAACATAGTTTAAATTATACAAGGTGATTGAAAAACAACTTTGCTATTTTAATAGGAGAAATTACATCAAAATACAGGGACTTCGAAGTTGAGTCATTTATTTTAACAGTAAGTAGATCTGATCAAAAGAAATGTTTTTTTCCTTTGCCATTTTTCTGGTAAAATTAAAGTAACAAAGTTATAGCCCTTTGGAAGTTTGAGTATCGCCCTGTCTCAATAATAATATCATGTGCTCGTGTTTGGCAACAACGGATATAATCCGCCTTATCGGGTCATCGCATCGGAAACAAAAAAGCGAAAGAATTTGGAACGATGTTTTTACAATTATTTTATTCAGTTGTATACATACAGTCAGTGTCAGTCGGTAACGCGTGTGAATAGTGGTGTCTGTTGCGTGGCTCAAACGAAATAAAAAATGGCACATATTTATGCGGATCGGTTTCCCAATCGAGTGCAACCAACCCCTCGTGCCTTTGTTAATGTAGTACAACGGGCTCGTGAATCAGGTGACTTAAGACCTCACAGGGGACCTCACGATCAAATACAGGTCCGCACTGAAATACTTGTCGGGAGAATACTTTATAAAACAAGGTAAAAAAATTTTTTTATTTTTTTTTATTTTTACACACATATTTTGGTTTATCTTCCTTCTACAATCATTATCTGAAAATTAATGACTCAACTTCAAAGTGTATAGTATAAGTAGGTCCTTGAAATTTTGCCATTTTGATTTCTGTTTTGTTTAAAGGCTCAGACGTAATTCTGGTATTTATCCTTAGCCCCTCGAATAGTCTTCGGATGCTGACGGAGTTTTGATACAAGATGTTAACCATCGGTCCAAAGACGGTGAAGTACGAACAGAATTGAAAAGGTTCCAGAACGTACCCAAAATTTGTTTTACGATGTATTTGTCATTTCTGAGAACTTTTCAGCGTAATCAAAAAAAAATTGTTGAAAGTCATTTTTACTGATTCGAAACTTCTTTATCAACATTTTCCAACTGTCACTTAGTGACGTAGTTATAAAAATTTCAGCTGTAAATTTTTCGTAGCGGAAACGTATTAAAAACTAAAATGTATTTTTGATAACATACGATATTTTCCTTTTTTTGTAACAATGAAAAAATATCTTATAGATTAAAAAAAACTGCCGATCAATAAAAATCAACGAAACCAAATAGATCGCCATTTCGACTGATTACTACTTCGATACGTCTTGACATAGTGTCAACTAATGTTTGGAAGTATACGTGGAAGTGCGTAGTGTCTGCATTTTCGTGTGAGTTAGGTATGTGAATATCGTCTGTTGTCTTTGATCTATTGCAATTTCTACATAAGTAGTTATACACTAAGGTCTATTTTTGTCTGCACTCCATCTATATTTTTTTTTTGCTCTGACAAAAATTCCACGAAGCAAAAACCTCATCCACGCTGTACTAATAAATAGCTCAGGGAAATTGGGTGTATGTTTTCGTCATGGCACCCGATGTCGAGCTGTGTAAGGTATGCGAGAATAATTTTATAGTGAGTACTAAAGCAATTAACTGTAGTATTTGCGCATCTAAATTCCACACTTCTTGTGTCTCAGTCAAAGACAGCTGGATAAAAATAATATCAGAGTGTGAAAATCTGCTCTGGGTCTGTGATGACTGCCGTTGCTTCCTATATAAGAAATGTGATTCATCTAAAACTGAGACTAGTATCTTACGAAAAGAAGTTGAATGTCTAAATAGGGAAATGGAGCTTACAAAGCGATTGATGTCGGAACTGGAGTACTCCAGTGAACTACAGAAAACCTTATTGAAGTCTTACGAAAATAATGTTTATGTGACACCAAAAATTGCATTGCAACCAAATCCAAGCACATTTAGCGATATTTTAAAGAAACCATCTACCGCTAGTTCATCTGTGTTGCTGATCAAGGCAGATGCAGTGGAAAATGCTGATAGCAAGAATATTTTCCAAGAAATCACGTCATCTGTTAACCCAGCTAATCTGAACGTTTGCATCAACTCCACTAAACGAATAAAGAATGGTGTAGCGGTTCACTGCAAAGATGACAAATCACTTAACACGCTCAAAACCAGTCTCAATAACAAACTTGGATCAAAATATTCCATTACCCAAGCCAGGAAGCTGAATCCTCGCATGCTTGTCAGAAATGTAAATTTGGAGGGCTTAAATTCGCCTGAGGACATAGTAAACAATATTATTTCCTTAAATAGTTTCGCAAACATTCAGCAGACTGACATAAAATTTGTCACGAAGCTGAAACACTTCAACAGTGTCAACATAGTCATTGAAGTTACACCGGCAGTGCGGAAAGTTTTACTTCAAGAGGGCTTTGTGTTCTTAGGATGGAAGAAGTCTCTTGTAAGCGATCACCTTCATATTGTGAAGTGTATAAAGTGCCACTCATTCGGTCATTCGGCAAAGGAATGCAAATCCACGGAAATAATATGTTCAAAATGCTCGGGAAGTCATATGTTAAAGGATTGTAAGTCTGATGTTTCAAAATGTATAAACTGCCT